TACTACTACTACTACTACTACTACTACTACTACTACTACTACTACTACTACTACTACTACTACTACTACTACTACTATTACTACTACTACTACTACTACTACTACTACTACTACTACTACTACTACTACTACTACTACTACTACTACTACTATACTGCTGCTGCTGCTGCTGCTGCTGCTGCTGCTGCTGCTACTACTACTATTACTACTACTACTACTACTACTACTACTACTACTACTACTACTACTACTAATACTAGTACTACTACTACTACTACTACTACTACTACTACTACTACTACACTGCTGCTGCTGCTGCTGCTGCTGCTACTACTACTACTACTACTACTACTGCTCCTTCTACTACTACTGCTGCTGCTACTACTACTATTACGACTACTACGACTACTATAATACTACTCTACTAATTAACGCCTCCTCCTTATCCTCCTCCTCCTCCTCCTCCTCCTCGTCCCCCCTCCTCCTCCTCCTCCCTCCTCCTCCTCCTTCTCCTCCTCCGTTTCTTTTCCTTATGAACAATTTCTCGCTGTCGCACCCCGAGGCCAGTTTCTAGGGCGGGCCGGGCGTTTCGCCTGAGACTTCCTCACCACTTATGACTCTGAAGTGGAAAATTGGCAAGGGTTTCACAGATGGGGGGTGGGTCGTTTTCAAAATGGGGCTCTCGCCTTAGCGCGGCGTACATTCGTTTTAGACATGTGCAAGAGTTTCGCGGATTGAGAGCGGGCTGTCTTCAGAATGTAGCTCTTGCCTTAGCGCGGCGCACATTCGTTTTAGACACTTGCAAGGCTAAATGTGGCTTTCGCCATAGCGCGGCGCACATTCGTTTTAGATATTTGCAAGAGTTTCACGGATTGTTGGCGGTTCCTTTTCAACCTGTGACTCTCGCCAACAGCGCCGCGTACATCCGTCTACAACATTGGCAAAGTGTCACGGGTTCCCATCATCACAGTACCAGAAATGGTGTTTTGAAAGGGTTCTGGATAATGCGGGGTGCAGCAGTTATGTGGGTTCGTTGTGTTGAAGTCCCAAGAATGGGGTCGTCAAGACGTACTCCAGATTTTGTAATAAACGGGAGGGGGTCTGGACCCTCCACGACAAGCCATTTCAGACCTCCCCCGTGGGGGAACCCTCCAAAACATCGTCCCCAGACCCCCCAGGCCCTCCAAGATAGCCTGGAAGAGACCCCCCCCCGAAATGAGACCCCCCTCCCTTTATTACGAAATCTGGAGTAGCAGTCAGGTTGATCCGTGGCGGTGGAATCCCGAGAACAGTGTTTTGGCATGCTTCAGGGTCTTCAAGCCGTTGTCTTCCAACGAGGCAGTTCTCCCAATGGGGATGAACCGTTCTAGGGGCCTGTGAAGAGGAAGCTTGGAGGGAGGGTTCATTCCAACATCGTTGATGACTCTTGGGATTGCACTGGTCTTGCTCCTCCTCCTCTTCCTCCTCCTCCTCCTCCCTCCAACTGCTTCTCCTCCTTCCTCCTCCTCCTCCTCCTCCTCCTCCTCCTCCTCCTCCTCCTCCTCCTCCTCCTCCCCATGGGCTGATCCAGGGCCCAGGTCTCCTCCTTCTCCTCCTCCTCCTCTTCGTCGTCGTCGTCGGAGGAGTAGGAGGAGGAGAGGAGGAGGAGAACCCCCCAGCGAGGGAAAGGGCGGTGGGGGGCTCGATTCGGCGCTGGTCCCCCTCACGGGGTGTGGCGCGCAGGGGGGTGAGGACCTCCCAAGAAGTGAAACAGGATCATCCCCAAACTGAATTGGGACTTCCAAAAAGTTAAGTGGGACCTTCCCCCCCAAAAAAACTCCCAACAAGGAAGTAGGACCTTCCGAGGGGGGGGGGGCGGTGAGGAGCTCGATGTTTGCCCCCCGATGGTGTGGCGCGCAAGGGGGTGGCGGGGTTTGCAACACAAGCCAACCCGTGGAGTAAGGATGCGCGATAAGGAAACAAGGGCCTTGGACGCCCACTTCGACGCTTTTCGAGCGGGGCGCGGCCAGCGAAAGTGGCGAAGGATGGACCGAGGAGGCAAGGATGCAAGGGCACCCTTGGGAAGGTTGCCCATCCTTGCTATGCGGGTTGACAGCAAGAATGGCCGAACGCGCGACGGCCGCGTTGTCCATAGATGTATCCACCCCGAATGTGTCGATGTACGCAACGACTCCCGGTGTGTCTATAGACACGTGTGGCTAGAAAGTCAGAGAGGTAAACGGCGCAGGCCCGAGATATTTGTCTTCTAGAAGCAGGTCGACTTGGCCCTCCAAATGCGGGTGGTCCCTCCTCTTCGTCCTGCCACTTCTCTTCTCGCCCACTCCCTCTCATTATCATTATCGCTGGCGCCGCCGCCACCGTCATGACTCTCATCCGTGTTGGGTCCAGGCCGACGGCGACTACGACGACCAGGACGACTACGCCGACGACGATGAGACCTCCAGGCCTGTGGTAGAAGCCGAAGGTCCCCTGCGCTGCAAGCCGTTCCCCCGCGGGTTCCAGGTCCCCGCCTGCCCCCCCATCGAGTCTGGGGGGGGGGGGGGAATGTAAGGGGGAGAACCACCCCATCTCGGGGGGGAGGGGGTCGAAGGAACCCTGGAACCAAGATCACATTGGGGCGAGCTTGGCGGCTGGCGGCACCGTGGGCCGTCTTAGAGGCTCTGAAGACCGAGACGGCGAGCGTGCAGAAATCGCACAGCAACCTTGAACGAATCTATTGCTTTTCACTCTTCGGGGCCTCTTGGGGGTTCTCTTCGGGCTCCCCGGGGCCGTCGAGGGAGTATGTTGCCTCGTCTTGCGGCCATCGTGGGCCGCCTTTGGCCCGTCTTGGCCATCTTGAGGGTCTCATCGGGACCTCTTTTGGGCCTTGTTGGGCCGCCTTGGACCCTCCTAGAGTGCCCGCTTATCAACCTTCCTGGCCGCGACCGAATGTGTGCCAGACCAATTGTATGAGTTCAGCTACATAGGAACTTGTGTATTAGTTGGAAATCACACAGGCCCTCGACGCTGACGAGTTTTCATCGACGAGGGAGCCTGCTCAGACGATCGTTGCCGTGGCAGCCAGCGAGCCTCTGTTCCGCTCAGGCGAGTGCCGAGAGTGCGCCACGCGTTCGTCCGCTCCGACGTTGGTGACAAAATTGCAACGGGGAGCTCAGCGTCGTTCCGCTAGCATGTCTCCAGGGCCTGGGATAGATCGGCAATGATGTCCTCGACGTCCTCGATCCCGATCGAGATGCGGAGCGTCTCGCTCTCCGCGCCTGCGGCCTTCCTCTGCTCCTCCGTCAGCTGCGAGTGCATCATCGACGAGGGGTGCGCAATGAGCGTGCGGCTGTCGCCCAGGTTTGCAACGAGAGAAATCATTTTGACCGAGTCCACGAGCTTCTTGCCAGACTCGTATCCTCCCTTGAGCCCGAAGGTGAATAGGGCGCCAGCGCCTTTAGGGCAATACTTCAGGTGCAAGCCGTGGGATTTGTCATCCTTCAGACCGCCGTAGCGGACCCACTGGACCTTCTCGTGCTTCTGCAAGAACTGAGCCACTGACAAGGCATTCTCTGTGTGTTTTTGCATTCGCAAAGGCAGCGTCTCCATCCCCATTGAAATCAAAAATGCATTGAATGGGCTGATGCACATTCCCATATCCCGCAAACCCAAAGTGCGAGCCGCAATGATGAAGGCGAGACCGGTCTTTCCCTGGGTGCCAAACATACCTGCCACAGGACCGTCCTTGCCGAAAGTCTCATACATTTTCATGCCGTGATAAGAATCGCACGGCTCTGATAGAATCGGGAACTTGCCGGAGCCCCAGTCGAAATCGCCTTTCTCGACGATGAAGCCGCCCATGGCGTTGCCATGGCCACACAGACCCTTGGTAGCGCTGTGAACGATGATGTCAGCACCGTGCTCAAATGGTCGAACCAGGTAGGGTGTGGCAGTAGTGTTATCAACGATGAGGGGGACCCCTTTACTATGCGCAATCTCAGCCAGTTTCTGCAGGTCCACTACAAGACCCCCTGGATTGGCAATCGCCTCGCAGTAAAGAGCCTTCGTCTTATCAGTGAAAGCCTTCTCGATGGCTTCGAAGTCATCATGGGGGCAGAAGCTGACCTCCCAGCCGAACTGCTTAAACTGGCGCCCAAACTGCGTCACGGAGCCTCCGTAGAGCTTGTCGGTGGTGACGAAGTGGTCCCCTGCCTGCAAGAGGTTGCTGAAGGCAAGCAGTTGAGCGGCGTGCCCAGAGGCTACGGCCAGCGCGGCCATGCCGCCCTCCAAGGCTGCTATCTTCTTCTCGACAGCATCTGCGGTGGGATTCGTGATGCGAGTGTAGATGGGCCCGAACGCCTGCAGGGCAAACTTGGCGGCGGCATCCTCGGAATCCTTGAAGACAAAACCCGTGCTCATCGTGATCGGACATGTCCGTGCACCTGTCGTGGGATCAGGCTCCTGTCCCGCGTAGAGGCACTGGGTTGCAAACCTCGCGTCGGTGGGGCACCTGCCGCCAAACTGCTTCGGCTCCATGGCGCCTCCGAGGGTGGAGGGAAATGTCCAGCGCTACGTGTGGTGCAGACGTTCTGGCCCCGAAGCCAGACTGACCTTGACCCAAAATGGCTACGGATAGGCGTGGTCCATTCCGGAAGCACTGAACCCAAACATGTTGTCATCTCTTGAGAAGCCGACTTTTGCTTCCGCCACCTTCCGGCAGAAGGGCGGCCTCGTTTTACTTCCGCCGACCTTCCGCCGCTCTTCCGCCGCCTTCCGCCGAGGAAAAGATGTCAACTCTTTCGATCCTAGAAGGCGAGGCCCTTTTTGGAGCGCCTCGTTAGGGTATTCGTACGCAAATCTACCTTTCTACAGATCTGTACGAGTATAGACATCAACGCGACCCCTCCAGAACTATCAATTTCTTTTCCACGCCGTCGTGCTGCCCACCCTGCTTACACTCCGTCTTCTTCCTGCACTCACTCTTGCTCCTGCTGCTGCTTCTGTTCCTCTCCCCTTACTCCTTTGCCCTCTACCTCTTCAGCTCAACCCTGATCTTGATGAGTTGACTCTCATTATTGCTCCCTCTCCTCTCATTGCTCTCACTCCTCACCCCCTCTCCTCCTAGGATCCTCCTACGGCGTCCTCGTTGTACTCGGGGGCTCCTCCTCCTCCTCCCTCCCCCTCTTCTTCCTTGTCAGATTCCTCCTCCACCTCCGTGGGGAACGAGGACGAGGAGGTGAAGGAAAACACGGGAGGATGAGGCTCCTTCGCCTCCTCCCCATCCTCCTTATTATCCTCATACTTCTCACAAAAGATCGTCCTTAACAACACCACCGGATTCTGGGATTGTCGTACCAGAAATTTCAGACACCCCAGTGACCGCACAAGGTTTGGCGCCCCCTTGCTTTGCAAGCAATGTGATTTCATTGAAACTTCGGGGCCTCTGGGATGAGAGAGCCACAGGAGCCATGTGATGTTCTTGTTTGTCGTTGCTTACTGTTGTGTCTGCGTGTTTATGTTTGTTTTTTTGGGGGGGAGTCTGAGCTTCAGGGCCCTGGAAGGCTGCAGCGCGGCTTTTCGCTGGAGGATGTAAAATCAAAAAGCTACACACACAAGTCCGCATGAAAATACAAGGCTCGGGGATTCCCATACCAGAAATCCAAAACATCCACGTGAACTCACATGGGTTTGCGCCTTCTTCGCATACTCTCCATATCCCTACCCTTCTCTTTCGTCGGAAGAGGAGAAGCTGGAGGAGGTGACGAACGGCTAAGAAAGGAGGAGGGAGAAGAACAGGAGCAGCAGCAAGAAGGTCCGCAGCAGCAAAAGGGAATACGACAACTGACAGGAATAGGAGGATAAGAAGGGGGAGGACGCAACAGAGGAGGAGGAGGAGGAGGAGGAGGAGGGAACTAACGTAGAGAGAGAGTTCATAGCACCGGCTTTCAATGGGGGTGCTGGAGGCGAGGGGAGAGCTGTCCGTGTGTATATATATATATATATATATAGATGTGTATTGACACATACAGGTAACTGTAGTATGATATGTGTGTGTATGTAAGAATGTCGCTCTCACGCATTCTCTTTCACGCCCCACCCTCTCGCGTGCACGTGTTTTTTTTCTGCACGCTGTGTTTGCGTTCGTCTTCCCTCTCTTTATCATTACGTGAATATATATATATATATATACACACTGCACTGGCGCTTCGCGCCGTGCACCTTGGCCCTTCAACTTCCGCGTGAAGGCGGAATGAGGCGGAATGAGAGAGAGAGAGAGAGGCAGAAAGAGAGAAGGAGAGAGAGAGAGAGGGAGAACGATCTCATCACTCCAGTTTTCGTTTTCATCGTTCTCGTTGTTTTCTTCCTCTGCCCTGTTCTCTTTCTTCTTCCGTTTCTTGTCCTCGCCCTTCCCAGCGAACATTTGCTTGTATTCATTTGCAACTTCTTCTGTTACGAAGGGTCGTCCTTGAACCGTCTCTCGGGGGCCTCACCAACCCCTTCTTAGGGGGCTAGCTTTCGGGCCTCTGGAGGCCCCCTGGGCGCGTTTTGGAAGCCTCTGGGGGCTTCTTGGGGTCACCTTGCTGCCACCCACGGTCTCCCTCAACGATCCGGCCACCATTTGGAGCGCTTAGCGGGGCGTCCTGAGGCCGTCTTGGGCTGTCATACGGCTCTTTTTGGTCCGCCTTGGGGCCCTGCTGGGCCGTCTTGGGGCTCCCTCCCTTCGCTCCCTTCGACTTTCAGGATTCTCTCTTGGTCCATCTTGATGTGACTTTTTGGCCCTCTTGAGCGGTTTCAGAGGTCCCGATTTCCGAAAACATCCCAAATCACATAGAAAAAGCGGAGCAACATGCATGTCTTTTTGTTTGGATGGCTTCTTAGGGGGTCTTCTTTGGGTCGTCTTGGTGGTGTCTGGGGCCGCTTAGCTCAAGCGTTCTGGGGAAAAAAAGGACCCACGTGTTTTCAAGCCAACTCCGCTCTGGGGCGAAAAGGACCCACGTGCTTGCACGTTCGCTCCGCCCTGGCGCCGAAAAGACCCCGCGTGCTTTCGCGCCTGTCCCGCTCTGGCTCGCGAGGCACTCGGTGTGCCTTCGCGCCTGTCCCGTGCCACCCAGGCGGACCTCTGCCGCGAGGACCTGTTGAGGGTGTCTCGCGCGCGACGCGGGTCTTCACGCGCCCAAGCCGCCCAAGCGGATCACTAAGGTGAGCACGTGCTGAGGCTGCCTGGGGCGAAGCGACCGCTCTGCAGGATCCGGTGAGGATGTCTCGCGCGAGGTCCTCGCCTGCAGCGAAAGGCCCCTTCTGCAGAACTTCTTCGGGATGTGCTGCGGATGCCTCTCGCGAAACGCTGGGCTGTCCATTGTTTGGGGAGGTGTCGAGCGGGGGCCTTGTCGTCGTCTCGGTGCTTTTCGTTTCGGTTTGGATTCGACCCTTGATCGGTTCGTCCCACTTCGGAACTGAATCGGATCTTGGAGTTCGAGCTGGTTGAACGCCCCACATGTTTCTCCCCCGCCTGTCGTGGTCGCGCTCGGTTCGCTCCGTTGCGGACCTGAATATAGCGGGCGATGGCTTCGAAACTGAATCGGATCTTGAGCTCGAGCTGGTCGAGCGCCCCGCGCGTCTCGACTACAACCAGCCCGAGCTACGCGGTCAGGCAGTCCGAGCTCAAGATCCAAATCAGTTCGGCCACGATTCTAAGGACGGCTGCATCCACAATGCAATAGGGCGCGGCACGGTTCAACGCGGCGTGACACGTTGAACTCAACACGGCATGGCACAGCACGGCGCAATCTAACACAGCCTGTGGCACGGTACATCACGATCGTTACCTTGAACACTGTATTTGCCCGTCGTCCAAATGCGACGTCTTGGAAACGATGCCGTGCTTCACATTTCTGCATCCTTTTCTGGATTCGTAGGTCGATCATGTTGATAAACGAGTGTGCGCGCATAATCTTTTTTGTGCAGAATATTGACTTGTGTCGAACCTGGCCTGGCTGGGACTTTATGAACTCATATTTAGATAGAACAATGGGGCAATTTCCTATGTAATTTGTACACCCCCAGGGGGTACTGATAACACCTGGGGGGTGGTAGATCCCATTTCCTATCTTGAGGAAAGTTAACCTATGTGGTGTACGCTGTGTGGTGCAATGTATGTGCTGCAGTCTACGAAGCTCGCACAATCACAATTACGACCAATCGGCGGCGGAACCAGCAACCAGGCCCAGACGAGGGGCGGCGACGGGGCCACTAGAAGGCGGCGGAACCAGCAATCAGGCCCTGACGAGGGGCTGCGACGGGCAGCGACTGGGCCACCGCAAGGCGGCGGAACCGGCAATCAGGCCCAGTTCCTTAAGAGACAAGTGATAACCCATAAGTGCAACCACTGTTTGGAGAATATTTTCCATGGGATCCTTAACATGTCCTGTGAAAGCTCGATGGTTTCCCATGGAGCTTGGCCGAATTCCAACAACATCCTTAAGACTTTCCGACGGAATCCTTCGTATGGCCGAAGACATCCGGCGGATTTCCCACGGATGTCGGAGGACTCCCTAAGGATCCCGCAAGATGTCTGTAGGAATCCACAAGATTCCGGATGGAATCCACGAGATCCCAACGGATTCCCCAATGAATCCTAAGGCGGCCTTGGCTAACCAAAACCTCAGCATTTCTGGACGATTGTTCCAACGGGTTCTCGGAAGACGTAACACGTCTGAGGCAATTCGCCAGGTGCGCGAGTCCTTCAGACGCCGTGATCTGTCCAACAATTCTACAATGCAAGTTGTGCAAGTTGGGTGGGCAGAAGATTCGCCCAAGCAAGTTGGCTGCAATTCGTCCTACATTTGTTTCTACTTCTCCCGACTTTCGGAAGCGTGTGGGGGGGACATTCGACCCAATCACCACTTTAGGGAGGTCGGGGCCGGTTAGGGCGCCCCCCGTCCTCCCACTCAACCGCCCACAGAAGACGCTCCATAAGATATTCGGACAAAGGCCAGCCTTTGGATGATGATGACGATGGTGAAATCTACGATGGGGCCTTTCACCCAGGAAGGACTCAGCGCAAGCCGAGACAATCATCATGAAAATTGGGTGCTGATCTGATGACGAGAGCCATCAGCATTTAGCCAGGCCCGTGTCCAGAGGGCAGAGAAACAGCTAGCCATTTGAAAGCCACGCAAAACAAACATACGACAACACTTACCGTACATTTGCTGCTGTTTCCTAGCTCCCTGGGCCTCAAGGTGGAGGAAAGACCATAAGACTAAGATGGCAACTTTTCCAACGCAGGCCACTGACCGAATGGCGTCAATCCTCGTCCCACTCCAAGCAGAAGTCTGGCACCCAGCCGGACTGCGTACCGCCGCCGTCCTGGTCGACCTCGATGTATGTCCAACCCTCTGCTGTCCGCGAAGACATCCAGACGAGCACTACGGCGTCCACCTCTACACTGCACTGGTTCTCGCCTGTTATTTGCCAGACCTCTCTGACGCGCATCAACTTCTTGTTGGCCTCCGTCTCCTGGGCGAGGCGGTTTTATCTGACCGGAAGCGAAGACACGGGGACAACACCGGTTCGAACACGTGTGAGCGGCGATCAAAAACGGGTCTTACGCGAGATGGCATAGCAAACTTACGCCGCGGCTTACCCAGGTCACCAACGCGGCACGCCGCATTGAAGACGAAGACGCTTACGCGTGACCTTACGCGGGCAACTTACGAACGAATGTCGGCAAAGACGACCCCGCTTTTGAGCGTCGCTGATGTGGCTTACTCTAGAACCCCTAGGCACGACGGCGCTTGCATCTTCCTTCTGGGGTGCCAACTCTTTCCCGGAAAGGGCTCGGGCCCAAAGTTCTCTTTGAATAGGTGCAGTCATACCGTCTCAGAAAGATGCGCGGTGAGGATGCAAGGGCCTTGGAGGCCCACGTGAACGTTTTTCGAACGAGGCTGGCCAGCGGAAGTCGCCACAGATAGGCCGACGGGGCAAGGATGCAAGGGTAGCCTTGGGAAGGTTGCCCATCCTTACTATGCGGGTGGACTGTAAACCTGTCCCCGGGCGCCATGCTGAGACGGGCAGACGGATCTCCGATCGATAAGAAGCGACGTGAACTCCAATTCGGCGTGGAACAAATGTATTTCGCGCGTGCCCGCTCGAGGAAAGTGTGCCCCCATGTTGGATCCTCGATAAATAACGCAGTGCGCTGAATAGCAAAGCGCGGAACGTCTTTTTTCCTCCTCTTTTTTTCCACGCGGAATCCTAGAAACAAATATCATCTTTTGGAGATCCGTTTTTGTTTTAAAAACGATGTGGCAATGCTGACTTTTTGCGTTCCCGCTCGGGGATGGCGCCCCCTGCGCGCCACATTCTCGAGGAGCTCTCGAGCGAAGCGCTTGCTTTGCAGAACTCTGGGGGGCCTAGGGCGCTCCAGGATGCCTCAGGTGGTTCTGGCAGCGCGGGCGCCGCGTCATTTCCACGCCAGTCGGAAGAGGTGGGCAGAAGCATGGAGCAGGAAGGCGTTGGAAGCAGATGGGGCTCCCACCCGCCCCCCGAAGAGGAGGAACGAAGGAACACCGCTCGACTCCTGGAAGCAGGAGGGCGCCCAAAGCAGCTTAAGGAACTCGGCATCCGAAGATGCGGCGTCCAGCCGGCTCTGGGAGAGCGCGGGCGCCGCGCCCTCTGCGAGGGATCGGGAGCGCGGGCGCCGCAGGCAAGCCACGAGGGGCCGTGGCCTCGGGGGCGCAAGCCCAGCGTCGTGCACAAAGGAGGGGCAGGTGGAGGAGGAGGAGGAGGAGGAGGAGGAGGAGGGCGGCCCTGGGAGCGCGGACGCCGTGTCTCTTGCTCGGCGGTGGACAAACCTCCCTTTGTAGTGAACCTCCCCTTAGTGACAACGGCCCAGGACCGAAACCGACGGGCCTGGGCCCGCAAAAATGACGGCCGCGACGCCCTCTCGCGGACCGAGGATGGCCGATTCCTGAATCGACGTGTCAGGGTAGGAGGTCTATCCACCTCCGACTTACAAAGGATCGTGGCCCTGGGAGTGCGGACGCCGCGTAACTTACTTGGCACGGCGACCTCGAGAGCGCAACTCCTGCGAGATTTGCAAACCGGGTCGTGGCCCTGAAACTGCACCCCCCACGGATTTACAAGGGATCGCGGCCTCTGGAGCGCAACTCCAGCGCACTGAACAAGGGATTGCAGCCCTGGGAGCGCGGACGATGTATAATCGACAGAGGATCGTGGCACTGGGAGCGCGGGCGAGGCGTAATTTACGAGGGATCGTGGCCCTCGGAGTGCGGACGCCGCGTAATTTACAAGGGATCGCGGCCGTGGGATCGCGGTCGTGGGATCGCGGCCCTGATTTGAGGGAATGTCGAAAGCGCCACGCGGGCGCCTCCTCCTTCCTCCTCGTCCCTCCTCCTCCTCCTCCTCCTCCTCCTTCTCCATCTCCTCCTCCTCCCTCCTGACTCCTCCTCCCTGCTCCTCTATTCTCCTCCCTCCTCCTCCTCCTCCTCCTCCTCCTCCACAATTATACAATATGAATACTACTCTCCTCTCTCCCTTGACTCTGTCCGGAGAATGTCCTGTCCTCTCCGCGTAAGGTGGTTCTGTACCCACAAGATTCCATGGTGTTTCCCACATGTTTTTGTAACTCGGTCGTTTCTGGTTCTTCCAGAACCGTGCTCCCGCTGCAGCGCTGGCCTCGTTCCCGCGCCTCCGAAGGCACTTGGCATTCGGAATCGCCTACATCGTCGGGCAAATACGGTTGCGGAAGACTTGAAGCCGGCATTCCGGACATGCCCTGTCCTCTCGTAGACGGGCCACTTACCCTCCAAGTCATCCGGCGCCATGCCACGGCATGCAACGCGATGCTGTGTTGTCCACCGCTGTGCGACGCCATGCTTTGCGTCGCTACGCTTTGTGATGCAGTGCTTCACTACGCAATGCCACGCCATGCTATGACATGCTATACTCTGCCGGGCTCTTCTACGCCATGCTCTTCCATCCATC